GAAACTTCTCAGGATAAACTTTGGTTATTTATAATCTACTATGTTTCTGGACCAACCATGTCACCGGTGAGTAACCATCACGTGTTCTTCGACAGATAATCGAGGATAAGATCAGTGTTACTTCATTGTCACAGTGTGCTAGTCATTGACTAAGAAAATTCACAAACACCTTTCAACCAATCAGATGCTTAGGTGAAACATCACGATTTGTTACTCACCTTTTTTTGTGCTATCGGCAGTTGTCTTTATCTTACTTTGAGCTCTTAAAGATTTTTTCGACTTTCTGCTGACTCGAAGCTTTATTCCGCTCTAAACTCACCCTGAACATTTGGTTTAACGTCACTTTGTTGTTTGTCATTCTCAGTTTTCTAATATCCAAATTGGTTTAAAATTGGGTTTTACTTTTTCTATTTTGGGTTTACTTTAAAATCCAAACTTGGTAAAAATGTAACATTTTCAATTTCAATTTAGAAGGTGGACTTTTTTATTAACTAAACTGGAAAACGAGAGAAAACTATGATTGGCAATGGGATTATCCAAATAATTATAATTATATTTAATTTGGATTTTTGCAAATCCAGATATGGATTCAGCTCATCAAATATTTGTATTTTATCGATAACCATAACTTTGTCAACTCAGTAATCCTGGTTTGCATTACCAGACAACAAACTTGGAATTGCACTATCACAATATCAATCAAAACTGGCAAAAATAAGAGAAAGCCATCACTAGAAAATTGACTAGGTACAAGTTTTTTTTCAATAAATCTGAGTCATGGATAATGACATATCCAGTGTGATGAATGATCAAAATCAAATGTAGCTGTAGGGCTTTGTATGATAACCAACTTCAGTAACTGTAAAAAGCACATTCACCACCAAATGTCCTAGTAGCCACACCCTACATGTAGTAGCTTTCAAAAGATCAGTCATCACAGCCATGATGCTTTAAAAAACAGCACACATTTTGTCCTTCCCATCTTAAACAGTTTCAGTTTACATTTAGTCGGATTAAGTTCCTTGATTAGCTGAACATAGTACTGAGAACTGACCACCTTGTCTATCCAGACCAAGGTGATGAAGTCAATTGATGCAGTTGCCATTGGCTTGTCGGGAAAGATCAATCATGGATGCATCAAGGATGTACCGGTAAGTGTTCTTTTATGGACAAGTGTTCCGGGATAACACAATTTACCACATTTTTTTTTGGTTTAGACCTCGAAGGCATCCTCTTTTTGGTGAAGAGATATGAAGAAATTCCTTCGACCAACATCTCTCACAGTTTACAAATTATCTTCCATTTACCTCATCACAACTTTACTTGCCAGAATTTTGATTTCCCTATTTACATATTAATCAACTCTAAAAAATATAGTTTGTTCCTTTAATTTGATATTTGTAAAATCAAAGAGTGTTACGAACCATTTTTTTTCTTAACAATACTTGGAGTTTTCAAGGAAAAGAATGACAAGTTCTTCTGCGTGCAAACAAATAAAACTATCATGGTGAAAGCAATTATCCAAAGATAGTCCGCATACATACACTTACACTTATGAGTATCTGCCCGTTCCAGGTTATTTTTTTGGGCCGAGAGGAACTCAAGTTGTTACTTATGGGGGAAGAAATCGCTTCCAGCAATTTAAAAGCTCGAGCAAGAGTATTATTAGTGTACTGCATTGTTTACAAATGAACTTTTACCTTAGTTAACTTTCTATTACCAGGGTATCAGTTGGCGTTTACACACGAGAAATATTTACCTAGGTAAGTTAACTCCAATACCTCGGTAGGAGGCTCAAGTCTAAACACGGCCTTAACTGAGCCGCCTTGAGATTGGCTATGAAAACTCACGCTACTCGAATAAGCGAAGGGTTGCTATTTCCTTTCTAAACAATTACCCCCCAGATAGAATGTCCACACGTAAGAAACTCACAAATCAGTAATAGCATGTACAAATAATCCATTGTCTCTCTGACAGTTAAAAGTTTCCGAAAAGCCAATCAAATGAAAGTTCTATCATTCTGTGATAAATATACCAAGGTCGTAGCGGCTGTTCATTCGAGCTCAAAAACTGATCAGCATTCCTACGAAGAGAATAAGAATATCAACAGTTTCAATGGAAAAGGTCTTGGAATTTTTAGCGCCAAAGACTTTCGGCAAACTACATTATGTGGCAGTGGTGTTTTGGATACTTATCGGTGGATCCTTCTTCGCCATATTCGCCGAAAGCAGCGAGTCCAGCTTCGATTTTCGCTGTAGCGGAGAGAAGAGTAAAGACATCGAACTGGTCCGAGAAAGATGTTTTGACCAATACCAAAAGCAATACAACAAATTCGGTTTTCCTATCTATTGGTTTGTACTCATTAATTTCGTCGTTATTCTAGTTGTTTGTGCTATTTACTCCCAATTAGTGAGACATACAGTCAATCAACTGCCTCGAAGAAACCGGCAGAACGCTGATCCAGAGAGACAGCCGCTCGACCAAGAGAACCCATCACCAACTGGATACAAGCTATACATCGCTTATTGTTTTCAATTATCCACGAGAATTCTTTTAGGAGTTCTTTTCA